ATATGAACCTATCCTAAAAATCTTGTCGGCATTAAATAATCCACTGAAATGTTGATATGCTGTTAAAGCAAATAAGCCAAAGCTAGGTAACTCAGAACCCTGTATTATTTAATTCGAAATTTTTGAATGTATATATCCATCCGACTTAATGTTTAAGAAAATTTAAAAAGACAGGAATACCAACTCAAATGCGATTACCCACTAGAAATAACGTTTATTATAATAAAGAAATAATTTGGTATTCATAACATATTTTTGTAAAGTATAACTACAATTCCAATTACATTATGTAAGAGATAAACCGTGTATTTCTTGTGTTTGGCAGAAGCTCTAAAAGATCATGTCCAATTTTGTCTCCCATCCACTTCTGGTGAAACTCTCGCATTAAACCTCGCGATTTTTCCCCCTCCACGCCCAGTTCCAAACCCAAACCTTCCTCTTCACCATCACGGCGTCATTATCTTCCCACAGACATTACAAGAAAGAATTCACAAGAGAACTCCGATTTCACTGCCGCAATGTAAACCTATGAGAGGGGATCTGGGTGTTCACCTTGACCTGTCCTTCATTTCGGCGTGGAGATTGCTCAGAAAGGTCGTGCGATGTCCAAGAGGTCTTCGTCTAATCCATCTTGGAGATAACCTTGCATTTGACCACATTGACCGTTCGGACGTCATCAGTGTTACAGATTCGGGCGCCCGCTCGAGTTTAACTAATTGAGAGTTATCAAGTGATTGCTGTTTGTCCTAGAATCAGAAATCGCAATTTCCGGTTATAGAATTTTGGTCAGTGATTGGTAAGGAGCCAGAAGGCGACCCGCCGAACGATTAGCAATTGGCATGTCACGTGATAAGCCTTTCCTTAAAGACCCCCTTGGAAGATATCGATAATGAGTAAGAAGAAAAATATTAAGATCGTAAGTACCAAATATGTTAAACCATAAAGATGATCGAGGCTGGGCATTTAATGACTTGTGTCCATGGAGCCCAGCAGTTTATAAATTGGTCGCTCACTTTCTATAAATACAGAGAAAGAAGCTGGTGATTTTGTTTTTGAATCCTTTCAATAATGAAGGACAGAGAACAATATAAGAACAAGAATAGAGTAGATAATTGCAGATGGAAAGCAAGAGTGGAAAAGAGAGATTTCCACAAGCGAGAATGTGAGAGAGGAAACTGTTAGCATAAAACTTCCGGTTGCATTATATCTTTAAAATGGTGAGACCTAACATCCGCGTCCTGGGTATGACGATAAACTACATCCCTGTCATGGGTATGAAGATAAACTACATCCGCGTCCTGGGTAAGACGATAAACTACATCCTCGACCTGGGTGAGAAGATAAACTACATCCGCGTCCTGGGTATGACGATAAAATACATCCCTGTCTTGGGTATGAAGATAAACTACATCCGCTTCCTGGGTAAGACGATAAACTACATCTGCGTCCTAGGTATGACGATAAAATACGTCCAACAGCAAGGCATCTGGTAATACGTTTTTGAAAACATAATGTTGCCAGCTGTACGTTTTTGAAAAAAATAATATTACCAGTTACAATATTTTAAAAATAAATAATGTTGCCAGCTATCCGTTTTTGAAAATAATAATATTACCAGCTATACGTTTTTGAAAAAATAATATTACCAGCTATACATCTTTGAGGAAAAATATTAACAGAAATAAATTTTTGAAAAAAAAAGTTGTCGGCATTAAATGACCCATTGAGGTGTTGATATGCTGTAAAACAAAACCAAACCAGACCTAACACCCAATCTAGTACTGCGCTTAAATTCTTAACGTCGAGGTGTGAAAGAAAAAAAAAGTTTATCAAAACAATTACAATGAACATATTTATAGAAGAGGTACGAGAGGTGCAAGATATGTTGCAGCGCTTGGAAAGTGACTGAATCCGAGATGCCAGATCAGGACCGATAAAATTGCAGATACTTCTTTGAATACGCAACAGAAGCACCAGACTAGATTTATTTGTAAAACATTTTACCCACAGAAAAGCGGAACTGTCACTAGCCCGCAAGGCGTTACAGAGATTGAAAGTAAGAGTGAATAGGGGTGTTTGTAGAAAGGATAAGGCATCAGAAGATGTCAATTGACATTACATTTAAATGTTTGAAGATTATAGTTATCAGGGAAGCAAGTAAGAGAAAGGGAGTTCTACTGTTGGGAAGTGCAAGAGAAGAAGCTGTTGGCGTAGAATAGGCAGTTATATTTAACTGTTTCGACAGTAAAAGGGTGGGACCTAGATGCCAACCTCGTAGAACACTTAAATTCATGCAGTTGGGGTACCTGTGAAAGTAGCTCGTTCCGTATAGGATACAGTCTATATTACGGTTCCGTATAGGAACAGGTTCGATTCCTGTCGGAGGACAAATATTTTCTATGAAAATTTCTCGGACATACAGGCCGGTAAATGTTGTTAATACTGTTTATTATAAACAGAGCATTTACTTAAATATTTGTATCTATAAAAAAGAATGTATAAACATAACAATGTCTAAAAATAATGGTCGGACTTTGTCCATTTCATAATGTGTGACGTCATTTGTTTACATTTGGATAGGCTTTGACCAGATATGAATGTAGGTGAGAGATTCATGGACGATCGAAGTTTAAAGTCAGTAAATTCGACCTTGCTAACCGAACGCGCCTCTGTGGCCAAATCGGTTAAAGGCACGTCAGGCTATATTCATAATGTGTGACGTCAGGCACACACACACACGCATATATATCTTTTAATAATAATGCTCTGTAGTTTACATTGAGCTCTCACTGGATTAACATTCTCCTTGGAATTATCCCTACCAATCACAAGTTGGTAATATATATATATATATATATATATATATATATATATATATATATATATATAACACTAATAATCTTATCAATATAAGCAGTAGTACTCGTCCGGCAAAACCTTAGGTGTCTTAGCTTGTAAATGAACAAACCAATACCCAAGGGAAAAAAAGGGTAAAAAAAGAAAGAACTAAGAACATTGAACATTTCCGGCGAAAATAATCGTCTAGAATCTAAATTCAGAGTTCAAAGAAAAAAGCCTCCGATATGAGTAAAGGAAAATAACTAAACAAAGTGCTCAATACGCTAAGTAGAGCAAATAAAGCAAAGTAAACCTGACGATCCGCGTAGGTGAAACCTAGGTAGATTTTTCTGGCTCTTTAGGTTTACTTTAGAATATATATATATATAGCGGTTCTAACATCAAAATTATCCAAACCGTATAACAGCAAGTTTATACAATTGTTAGATTAAGCTTTGAACCGTTGTCCTTTAGAAATGATTAAAGATATCTTACTGGAATTCTCCGAGGTTTTTATAACACTATTGGACTCTACTCTGAGCAACAAGAATGTGGAATTACTCTCCAAGCTTAACAGAAGAATCGTGATGAAATCGACCATAAACGAAAATGACATGTTCATCAGTAATTAATCATAGCTAAGGAAGTATTGAAATAAAGTTATATATATATATATATATATATATATATATATATATATATATATTCTAGAATCACTTTGCAAATTATTCAATATGACTTTGAAGTTTTTTCAAACGAAAGCCACTTTTTAACTGTTTCTGAAAGACATCTTTTTGTCGTTCAGCATTTGAAAGTCATCTTTTCTTCATCAGTTTTTGAAAAGCATTTTTTTGTTGTTCAGCTTTCGAAAAGCATCTTTTGTTTAGTTTTTGAAAGATATCCTTTTGCCATTCAGCTTTTGAAAGACAATTTTGTCGTTCAGCTTTTGAAAATCATCCTTTTGTGGTTCAGCCATTGAAAAGTATCTTTTTTGTCGTTCAGCTTTTGAAAGGCATCGTTTTTGTCGTTCAGCTTTTGAAAGGCATCTTTTTTGTCGTTCATATTTTGAAAGGCATCCTGTTGTCGTTCAACTTTTGAAAGGCATCTTTTTTGTTGTTCAACTTTTGAAAAACATCCTTTGGTCGTTCAGGTTTTGAAAGGCAGCTTTTTCTTGTTCAGCTTTTGAAAGGCAGCTTTTTGGTCGTTCAGCATTTGAAAGGCATCCTTTTGTCGTACAGCTTTTGAAAGGCAGCTTTTTTGTCGTTCCGCATTTGAAAAGGATCTTTTTGGTCGTTCAGCTTTTGAAAGGAATCCTTTTGTCGTATTGCTTTCGAAAGGCAGCTTTTTTGTATTTCAGCTTTTAAAAAGCATCTTTTTGTTTGTTCAACCTTTAGAAAACATATTTTTGGTTGTTCAGCTTTTGAAAGGCATTCTTTTCCTGTTCAGCTTTTGAAATACATCTTTTTGGTTGTTCAACTTTAGAAAGGCATCTTTTTGTCGTACTGCTTTCGAAAGGCAGCTTTTTTGTCTTTCAACTTTTGGAAAGCATCTTTTTGGTCGTTCAGTTTTTGAAAAGCATTTTTCCTGTTCAGTTTTTGAAAGGCATCTTTTTGGTCGTTCAGCTTTTGAAAGGCAACTTTTTATCGGTCAGCATCTGAAAAGGCACGTTTTTGGTCGTTCAGCTTCTGAAAAGCATTTTTTCTTTTCGTCGCTTAGCTTTTGAAAGTCATCTTTTGTTATTCCTTCGGATTTCAGTGCCACATTTTCCGCCGTCTATTATAGCATTTTCTCTATACTTAAGGTACCGTATTTCGATGCATCTGACATCTCCAATTTCTACCACGTGTGTAGATTTGTCCTTCTTTTTAAAGGCCGTATATTCTTTCTTCTAACAATTTATAGCTTGTCCTTCCTTATCGCTTCCCCTTGGCGTTTTCTTTCTGTGTCTGCTATTAACTTCTTTTCACAGATATCTTACATTGGAATTGTTATTACGAAGACAATATAACCCTGTAAATAAAGGAATGCCGGTTTTTTAAGACCTTGCGCCAGATAGTCGGGAACGGCTACCGAAACTTTCGCTCTATCATATGCAAAAAAGGAATAAAACTGAAGTAAAAGACAAAAATAAATAAAATTATCCTTAATTGCAGACGGTAAAAATGGGCCAATCGGTGATGGTTTTTTACTGTCTAGACGAAGTACAGATGATTGAGTTATCAGAATCCAAAGCAATCCCACACAATCAGTGGCGGATTGCTGCGTCATTTTTTTTCTTCCTTCCTTCCTTCCGTTGCATTATGTTAATATTTTTCATTCAACACTTTTTTTTTCATTACACTATCTTTCAGTTTTCATTCATTTTCTCTCTTTTGTCTTCTTTCATTTGTGTCTAGAATTTTCCTTTTCTATATATGAACAATTTTCTTAGCTTTTTTTTTTCATTTGTCCTTCGCTAAATAAACCCTTTTTCTTTATTATGCTTTATTTAGATTGTTTTCATTCCTAGCTCACTCATTCATTTCTTTTCTATTCCTGATCTTTCTTTCTTTCTTTCTTTCTTGCTTAATTTGTCTTTCTTTAAATATGTCCTTTCTCAGTATTATGCTTTAGTTTTTATTATTTTCATTCTTACATTTCTCTTTCATTTTTTTTCTATTCCTAATCTTTCTTTCTTTCTTTCTTTCTTTCTTTCTTTCTTTCTTTCTTTCTTTCTTTCTTTCTTTCTTTCTTTCGTTTGCTTGTTCCTGATCTTTCTTTCTTTCTTTCTTTCTTTCTTTCTTTCTTTCTTTCTTTCTTTCTTTCTTTCTTTCGTTTGCTTGTTCCTGATCTTTCTTTCTTTCTTTCTTTCTTTCTTTCTTTCTTTCTTTCTTTCTTTCGTGCTTTCTTTCTTTCTTTCGTTTGCTTGTTCCTGGTCTTTCTTTCTTTCTTTCTTTCTTTCTTTCTTTCTTTCTTTCTTTCTTTCTTTGTCCTTTAAATATTGTTTTAATTTCTAATTCTCTTTTTCATTTCTTTTCTATTCCTAATATTTCGTTCATTCATTCTTTCTTTGTTTCTTTTTCCGTTTCTCCGTCTTTAAATGTACTATGCTTCTTTAGTTCTTTATTTTGTATTATTTTCATTCTTATCTCTCTCTTTCATTTGTTTTCTATTTCTAATCATTCTTTCTTTCTTTCTTTCTTTCTTTGTCCTTGTTTAAATATACCGTTTTTCTTCATCATGCTTTATTTATTTGGTATTGTTTTCATCATTTGCACTCTCTTTAGTTTCTTTTCTATTACGAATCTTTCTCTCTGTCGTTCGTTCTTTCTTGCTTTAAATGTACACTTTTTCATTCTATCTCTTTCTTTCTTTCTTTCTTTCTTTCTTTCTTTCTTTCTTTCTTAGTTTGTCTTTCTTTAATGTACACCTTTATTACAATTTTTCAAATTTTTATTGTATTCTTTCTTAAGTCTTTCTTTCATTTCTTTTCTGTTCCTCATCTGTTTTTTCTTTCTTTCTTTTTAATTCATTTATTTTTTCTTTTAACTTTATTTTCTTTATTTTTTTCGCATTGCTTCTTCCTTTAATTCTTTCCTTTAAATTTCTATCGTCTATCATTTTTTATTGCCTTTTTTCTCTTTCTTTTCCTATCTCTTTCTTTCTTTCTTTCTTTCTTTTTCTCTGTATGTTTCATTCTTTTATTTTTCAGACGTTTCGTTTTTCTTAATGTTTTTAGTCTTTCTTTTTGCTTGATTATTTTGCTGCTTGTTTATTTTGCTGCTTGTTTCTTTCTTTTTTTTTAGTATTTCTCTTATTTTTCTCTTTTTATTTCTTTCTCTAAAACCTTTCTTTTGCTTTTTCTTTCACTTTATTACATTCCTTTTTTATTCGCTCCGTTTTTCTATTCTTTCTTATTCGTCTATATTAATTTCTTTTTTTGTTACTTCTCTTTACCTTATTTTTCTATTGCTTCTGTTTTTATTTCATTTTTTTTAAATTTTTTTTCTTTCTTTTCCTTATGTCTAACATCTCTGCCCGTCTTTCATTCTTTGTTTTTTGCCTCGTTCTTTCTCTCATAATTCCTATTAGATTGGATTTTTATTTTCTAGGCTTTAAGGATTACATTAGTCGATTAAAAAATGAATAAGCAAATAAATAAAATGTAGGTTTAGATCAGTCGGTAGATGAGAAAGAGTCGCCATATTGGAAAAAAAAAATGGAACGAGAAAAAGAACTAAAGGTCAGGCGGCAAAGGGTGGAGTGACAGTGTACCTCAGAATCGAAGGCCATTTTAAATATGGCGGCGGGAGAGTGTCGGGAGATTGAAGGTAGCGTGAATGAAAAAAAAATGGAGGCTGTTGTGAGAGGCAAGAGGGACATGTTAGTATGGATGAAATAGAATGTCATTTCCGTGTTGGAGAGAATGCAAAAAGAAGAGAGAAAAAACAGAAAAATTTGAATAAAAATTACAAAAAAAAAAAAAATGAAATTTATCACAAAATGTCGATGTCGTCATCATAAAGTCTTCTATTCTACAATTTCGAGTAAGGCTGAATTTCGCCTGTGTACCTCTACTTGACTTCAGAACTTCAGGGCGAAATAGTCATTTGGCTATTAACCTTATATACAGGGTAATTAAATTATATTATATATATATATATATTATTATTATATATATATATATATATATATATATATATATATTTGGTTGGATAGATGTGAGTTTGTGAGCCTGGGTTTGACGCTTTAGCGATCGTTGTCTGACGATCGCTAAAGCGTGAAACCCAGAGTCACAAACTCACGTCTATCCAACCAAATATGTCAGCTCTATCTCTGATATTGAGCGCTTTCTAATAAGTACCGCGCATATAATATATAAATAATATATATATATATATATATATATATATATATATATATTTATATACACTTTTCACACACACACACACAAAAATATATATATATATATATATATATATATATATATATATATATATATATATATTTATATATATTTGGATTCGAGAATAAAACAGCATGTACCCCCAGGATTTTTGAATCCGTCCTCCAGGAATAACCAACTGACCAACAGTTCTGGTTCTGCTATTGCTGAACATTTAATAAATAGAAGGAAATGTGTGGAAAATTTTAGTGGTGAGCGATTTATAATTTTATCAAGGTCCCAATCAACATTTCACCTCAAGGTTCTAGAGTCCTTTGATATCAGTTCCCGTGAGCCTTCCCTTTGTAAACAGAGGAAATGCTTGCTGGGCCTGAATATTATTGGACTCTAGTTTCTTGAAATTCATAATTTTCTTTTTTTCCCCATTCGATTACATTCGTTAATTAAAAATTAATTTACACGCTTTTTTTAAATTCCCAGAATAAATAAACTTGATAAGTCCTGGGACGAAACCGGTTGTTTTTATTTTAGCTTTTGCTTTTAAAAATGCCTTATAAATATTGTCTTTTCCTATCTATTATTAAATTCTGTACCACGAAAAACTTAAAATATATATATATATATATATATATATATATATATATATATATTTTGAGAGATTATAATATATATATATATATATATATATTATAATCTCTCATAATATATATATATATAATATACATATATATATATATATAAAATATACATACACACACACATACATATATATATATATATATATATATATATATATATAAATATTTAAAATATACATTATACTTATTCGCACACAAGGAAAATTAAATAAAAAGCCTAATCGTAGTACTATGTCCGTCGTTGTTAATGAAACATATATAAATGAAGGATTGCTGTTTAAATACATTATATATATATATATATATATATATATATATATATATATATATATATATATATCGACGATATCAATTCCTGAAGATAAGTCGGTCGAAAGGTACCTAAAGTTGTTATATTTGGTGTGATACTGTTGTATCGTATTTTAGAAATAAATTATGATCCCTGTCTTAAAAATTATCTACCTTGAAGTGGAGCCAGAATTTTTGCTTATATATATATATATATATATATATATATATATATATATATATATATATATATATATTGCAGTTAGGTTCCCCTTTAGGGCTATTCGAAATAGAGGATTACGTTAGGAGTAGAAGATAACTGTTGAATCTAGCCTTGAACAGGTTAAGATTGTAGTGATCGAAAAACAACCTCGGTTTCAGAGAGCAGTGGCTCATGGGAAGAGGCTTTTAGAGTGAAACTGACCGACAGAATACGGGGGAAATGTGGGTGGTTTGATACTATGTAAGTGGCATGGCGGGTCCTAGCCGTTAAGGTTTGAATTAGTGGTACCATGATATGTAGTTCGTCCAGGGAAAGTGCATGGACGAACTACATATCATGGTACCACCAATTCAAACCTTCACGGCTAGGACCCGCCATGCCACTTAGTAAATTAGAATTAGAAGTAAATTAGAGCAGCGAGAGGCTTACCACATGCCGTCTGTGGTTGAGAAGTTGGAGGGTGAAAAATAATCAGTCCCCCTCAAGAGCTCGGAGACGCTTTTTGACTCAAAACTTGAGAGTGAGGTCTGGGCAGTTCCCGCACACATATGTCAACAGTACTTCATTTTTTGGGTCTGATTTGGCTCTTGTAAAGTTAGGATAGCAAGATGAGTCAGGTCCTTAGCAATGCATTGTTTATACGAGTTCTATTTGAGATAAGGTGTGAGTTTGAGACCCAATAGTGTTTCAGGGCACGGTAAAATTGAGTTTAAAATATAAGCGGCAAAATTTAATTTAATAAATATTTAATTTTTTTTATTTATGCTGATGTCAAATTAAAAAAAAAAAAACTGCCATATGAGGTATGATAAAAAAAACTCTCGGAACAGGTGCTATAAATTGAAAACTACAACACATATCAATTCGATATTTAATCTCCTTCGAAGTATTCGTTTTCTGAAGTCAAACAGTTTATCCAGCGCCGTTTAAATTTATGAGAGTATTCCTGAAACATTTTTGTGAGACAGTGAACAGCATTTAATTTCATTCGAAACAGTCACCTTCTAAAACCACACACATTATCCAGCGTTGTGATGGAAGCATGCCTAGAACTCCTTTTTTGGGGGATAACGAACAGCTGCCTCATTGTATTCTTTTGGATTTCATTGACATCTTGAATTCTTGTTCCTTTCAAGTGGAATTTAATTTTTGGAGAGGACAAAATAGTAAGGCGAGAGATGTATGGTGATTATCGAGCCTTGGGAATGTTGGTCTATACCCAAAAAATAACCCAACTGAGTAACCAATGATCTGTGATGAGACGATACAACATAAAAATGAACGAAAAGGAAACGTGTATGCGCTGCGGAGTTCAAGGAAACCCTTTTAGCAAAAAATATACACTCAGATCTAATATATAATTGATTCTGTTAATTTGAATTTGATTTTTTTACATTTTTTTAATGTTTGTATTGGGATAATTTGAACCTTTCATTACTTCATTTAAAAAAAAACATAAAATCGATGTAATTGATATAATGTATTTTAAAAGCGTTCGTAGTAACCATTAACGTATCCATTTCCATTACGCCAAATTAGTCGAAAAACCTGAATTAAATAAGTCAAATCCACACACACATATATATATATATATATATATATATATATATTTGCCTGAAGAACAAGAAGAGAAAAAAGAGAGCATAAATGTTGCTTCATCAAACTTTTAAAAGTGTGAAAATCCGGGTCTTGGTCGAGGTTAAAAAAGTTAATTTTAAATAAGGTAATTTCACGTTCCTCGAAAAGAAAAAAAACAAAAATACGTGAATAAAACCTGATCTCCTGCAAACTGATTAGTTTCATTATTCATACGAAGGTATCATATAAAAATCCATGGAAAGCATTAAAGAAGAACTACGGCGTTAATTTGCCGTAAAACAAAATCTTCACGGCAAAAGACTCTGCAAAAACATTTTTTAGAAAAATACGCAATGAACCACCTTCAGTCAAACTGATTTCTTACGCAATCTTTTCAAACGAATCTATCCTAAAAAAGCTTGTCGGTATTAAATAACCCACTGAGGTGTTGATGAGTCGTAACATAAAATGAACCAAAGGAAACCAGATCACTACAATTTTACCTTTTTCAAATATACACCAATTAATCTAATTCCACAAACATTTTTTTACAAATAATACATGTTCTATTCATATGAACCTTGTCGGCATTAAATAACCCATCGATGTATTGATTCATTGTTAAAATGAAATCAAAAATAAAACAAACTATAAACCTTTGTGAAGTCTACCTCCAGTAATCACTTCTTTTGCCTGAACAACAACAACAAAAAAAGTAGCATATATGGCTTTTTAATTGAACATAATCCGGGTCATGTTCGTCCTGGGATCCATATTTAAAGTTTCACCCGACCAAATCCATGTTAGACAATCAGAGGCCTTGCTGCCTGATGTAGTTTGTTATCATACCCAGGACCCTATCTCCATGGAAAGTGTTCAGAAGAACTACATTCCTTAATTTCACCAATTCTTATCTTCACGGCTAAGACCTGCTCCAAATTGCAGCGAACCACCTTCAGTCACGACCTGATTCCATTGGTAAGATGCAAGTTCCACTAGAGCAGCTTATTTTGGTTTGTTGAAACGACTTCCAAGAGCCTGACCTGATCACCAATTTTAGCCTGTTCTAGGATTAACCATTATCTTCCAACCATATTAGTAAACTGTGCACCTTGACCTGATCCATGTTAGACTGGCACCCGAGCCTTCATTGTTGGAAATGAAATCAAAACCAAAACGGTGCTAAACCTGTGAAGTCCTGATCTCATGTTAGACTTCACCCTGACCAGTGAGACAGATATGAAATGATCCATATTACACCTCACCTGACCTGATCCATGTTAAACTTCACCCGACCTGATCCATGTTAGACTTCACCCGACCAGATCCATGTTGGACATCACCTGACCAGATCCATGTTAGACCTCACCTGACCTGATCCATGTTAGACTTCACCTGACCTGATCCATGTTAGACTTCACCTGACCTGATCCATGTTAGACCTCACCTGACCTGATCCATGTTAGACCTCACCTGACCTGATCCATGTTAGAGCTCACCTGACCTGATCCATGTTAGACTTCACCCGACCAGTTGGACATCACCTGACCAGATCCATGTTAAACCTCACCTGTCCTGATCCATGTTAGACTTCACCCGACCAGTTGGACATCACCTGACCAGATCCATGTTAGACTTCACCTGACCTGATCCATGTCAGACTTCACCTGACCTGATCAATGTTAGAACTCACCTGACCTGATCGATGTTAGACTTCACCTGACCTGATCCATGTCAAACCGTAGCTGACCTGATCCATGTTAGACATCACTTGACCTGATCCACTTTAGACCTCACATGCCCTGATCCATGTTAGACATTACCTGACCTGATCCAGGTTAGCCCTCACCTGGCCAAATCCATGTTAGACCTCACTTAACCTGAGGGTCACGTGAGGAGAGGGGCACAACATATTGAGGTAGACCTCACGCTATAGTAGCACTAATTATTCTACTATCATTTTAATGAGATAATATCCTTGAGGAAACGAGTACTTGAGCTATCATCTACACACACAGACGCGCACGCGCGCACACACACACAATCACACAGATATATATATATATATATATATATATATATATATATATATATATATATATAAGTTTTTATTAAAAACGACTGACAAGGTGATTTCAGGGGCGTGCGGCACCTTTTGAGAGTGCCTAAAAACCATACCACGGTTTGACCCAAACGTTGTAAGTGAAATTGGGTGGATGGAACCCTTTGGCAACTGTTGATGTTTGTGCTGGCATGAAGTCATAAGTCATCGTGACCGAGGGTTTTGAGCGTGCCGGCTAGTTGGTTTGGTTTATTTTGTTTTACGGTATATCAACCTCAATGGGTTATTTAATGCCGACAGAAATATTTATTGCTGGTAATTTTTGTTTTGTCAAAAATCTGTTTCTGTAAATATATTTCCTTCAAAATTGTTTTGCTGGTAATAATTTTTTTTCAAAAAATTATTACTGGTAATAGTTAACTATTTGCCCATAGCTGGGACCCTAACAGGTGCTACCACCCCGGGTCAGGGTGGACCTGGGAACACCAACAATTAAGAGGTGGTTCCACGATCCTCAAAACCTTCTGATCAGAGGCCTTGCTGTTGGACGTAGTTTAACGTCTTACCCAGGACGTTGATGTAGTTTAACGTCTTACCCAGGACGAAGCGTGCTGGCTTTGTTCAAACTGTTGATCACACTCGATAACGCGCTCTCTACCAGCAACTGTAAATGAGGTCCCCTCAGCATTGTTGCGGTATAAACCCCAGTGGATTCTGTGGGCGTTGAACAAGCACAAATTTGCCTGAGCAGGCGTCTGCTACAGGGATTAGCTAGCGGCTCTATTAGGTGGCCATCCATACGTATATCTAGTTCTTTCATATAACTTGACAATATTAAGAAAATATTCGGTGCTACCATAGCGTGAGGTCTACCGAGGTAGACCTCACGCTATGGTAGCATCGGAAATATGAGACGAATATAAACATCCATGTTAGACCTCACCTGACCTGAGGGCCACGTCAGGGGAGGGGCACCTCACGCTATAGTAGCGCCAAGAAAACACTGCTATAATTTTTGATGTCACAGTTGTAATTTAATTTACATCACCTCTAAAATACTTTGTCCGACATCATCAACCCGTGACGTAATCCAGTTTTGTACGTAATGCCTTAAAATCTCGTAAATGTTCACAAATGTCGTAAATGGTCACAAATGTCGTAAATGGTCACGAATGTCGTAAATGGTCACAAATGTCGTAAATGATCACAAATGTCATAAATGATCACGAATGTCGTAAATGATCACGAATGTCGTAAATGGTCACAAATGTTTTAAATGATCACAAATGTCGTAAATGATCACAATTGTCGTAAATGATCACGAATGTCGTAAATGTTCACAAATGTCGGAAATGGTCACGAATGTCGTAAATGGTCACGAATGTCGTAAATGGTCACAAATGTTTTAAATGATCACAAATGTCGTAAATGATCACAATTGTCGTAAATGGTCACGAATGTCGTAAATGGTCACAAATGTTTTAAATGATCACAAATGTCGTAAATGATCACAAATGTTTTAAATGATCACAAATATCGTAAATGGTCACAAATGTCGTAAATGGTCACAAATGTCGTAAATGGTCACAAATATCGTAAATGATCACAAATGTCGTAAATGATCACAAATGTAAAACAGTTAAATAAATTACTATAGAATAGAAATATCACTAACTGAATAAGCAAAAAAAAGTATTTTCCGAAGAATAATGAACACAATAAAATTGTTATTTACTTTGAAATTTGTCATTAAAATTCCTTAGGACGATACACATCAAAGAATTAGCTTAAACAACACAGAGTAGAATACAAGAAACCATTGATTAATGTGGCTAATGTCTGATACACACCAATCGAAAACGCATCAATCGAGTATGATAAGTTATATGAAATGATATAATTTGTAAAACAAATTTTAGTACTTTTTAATTAAACTATAGGCACATATAAGAAGATTCAATAAAAATGCTATGAATTAATGTTTATTTATCTGATTTTTATGAAAAACATATTTAGAGTGGTTTGCTGCATCGTATTCTTGTGTTCTTCATATAATTGGCGGAACTGAGAAAATGCCATTTCAAATTCTCCAAACATATAATAATCATTAATATTTTAAGCTGAAAATTTTATTTATAATCTTTCCATAGTAAATTCAGCCATCTTATTCATTTCTTAATAAATGTAAATTTCTGTATCTAATTAAATTCTCCATTATTTTTAAATAAAACATTTAGAAATTTCCTTTTAAAACCTTCAAAATAAACATGAAATAAAAATCAAAACATTCAAAAAATTTTAATAGAGATAAATACTTTTTTTAAAAAAACTACTGTAATTAATTAGATAACGTAATACTTGAAAAACAAAATAACCATTTTTAAATTTTAGAAAATCTTTAATTAATTATTAACTATAAAAAAACAATTTCAATTACTATTGTTAAACCTAAGAATATTTCAGCACACTAATAGAGTATTATGTATGCACTAATCGAATACACACTAATAGAAAACATTAATTGAATATAATTATTTATAGAAAATGATGTAATTTGTAGCTCAAAATTTAGTCCCATTTCCAATTAATTTCTAATTTGTATACTTTTTAATTAAACTATAAGCACATATAAGAAGCTACAATAAAAATGCTATGAATTAATGTTTATTAATCTGATTTTCTAATGAAAAACCTATTTAGAGTGGTTTGCTGCATGGTATTCTTGTGTTCTTCATATAATTGGCGGAACTGAGAAAATGCCATTTCAAATTCTCCAAACATATAATAATCATTATATTATTTTAACCTGAAAATTTTATTTATAATCTTTCCATAGTAAATGTGTACATCATTTATATTTCGATGTTTTTAATAAATGTAAATTTCTGCGTCCAATTAAAGCGTCCATTTTTTTTAAAGAAAAAAATCAGAAATTTCCTTTTTAAGACGTTCAAAATAAAATAAAATAAAAGAATCAAAATCTACAAAAAATTTAATAGAGTCAAATATTCAAATGTTATCATGGAAATGATCTAATTATAATTATTATTTTCCAGTTTTAAATTTTAGAAAATATTTAATTAATCAACAACTATTAAAAAAATCAATTTTCAATTACTATCGTTAAACTGAAGAATGTTTAACCGCACTAATCGAGTTTGGTATATAAAAATTTCAAAAAAGCATTAATCAAATGAACATTAATCGAAGGATTCCCGTAGAACTCTCGTTAGGCCATTAAAGAATGATCAATCCCTCGATGAGATCTATCTATCTATCTATCTATCTATCTATCTATCTATCTATCTATCTATCTATCTATCTATCTATCTATCATATCTATGTATCTATATCTATCTATCTATCTATCTATGTCAGTCTGTACATTATCTATCTATCTATCTATCTATCTATCTATCTATCTATCTATCTATCTATCTATCTATCTGTCCTAGTCTGTTCATATCTATCTATCTATCTATCTATCTATCTATCTATCTATCTATCTATCTATCTATCTATCCTAGTCTGTTCATATTCATTCATCTATCTATCTATCTATCTATTCATCTATCTATCTATCTATCTCTATCTATACATTATCTATTCATTATCTATCTATCTATCATATCTATCTATCTATCTATCTATCTATCTATCTGTCCTAGTCTGTTCATATTCATTTCTATATATCTAGTTATGAAATCTGTCCTATCTGTTCATATCTAAAAACCAATACTACCATTTACAAATAATTATCTATCTATAGATAGACAGATGGATATGAAGAGACAAAGATAGATAGATAGATAGATAGATATCTATAGATCTATAGATCTATCTATCTACAGATGTCAGGAACAGATAGATAAATCTATAGATAGATAGATAGATGAATGATTGATATATACAGAGTATGATGTATAAATTGTTGTCAAAATTACGCAATGATGAAAATAACATCTATCTATCTATCTCATTTTATCTAATATATCTATTAAAATTACTATAAAAAATATCTTACATTAAATACGAAAGAGTAATCTATTCAATAAATCTCCATTGACTTCACCAGTTATGAAATTGCCCAAACAAAGCAAAATCTCCTGCAACTCTTCTGTAGAGTCTATAGATAGAAGATGGAAATAAGAATGGAATAATACAACACAAAATGATAGACGTTAATAAAATGTATTGAAAACAGGGACAGATAGGTAGATAATATTTACAGTTAGTTAGGTATATTTAGATAAGACTGTATGATGTATAAATTGTTGACTAAATACTCAATGATGAAAAGACACTCTGACATTCATTTTTCTTAATCTTTACTAAATTCCAAAAAATGTCTTCCGGTAAATTCAACCCATATTTATATGGTCGGTAGTCCACTTATGCAAAAATTAGGTGTATCAATACACAACAGTCTCCTTGTTTAAGTTGGTGAATTCTGCCATAATCCTTTCCTTCAGTTTTGTTGGTCTCTCGCTCAACTGCGCCCCACACATCAAGGGGGTTGCAGTCTGGAGAGTTAGATAACCAGATGTAAGGGTTGATGTAGTCGCAGAAATTGACAGCCATGACTGGGTTTTCCTCCTTTTTTAGCATGGTGCAGAGTCCTGTTGTCAGATATACGATCTTCCAGTAGGTACCCTCTTTAACCAGAGAAGCACTACCTCCTCTGTGTTGGGTTTGTGTCCCTCGAGATCAAATTCGGGAGATCAGAGTGAGCTTTTCGAGTTGTCATACCTTCGTAATCACCATTAGATTCATCCAACTCTTTCCGAATCCCCTGTCCTCGGATTGACACCCAAACACACTGAAATGTTCGTATTGGAGTTTCCATCAGAAAGGCCAAGCAGTAAAACATGCTGTTTCCAAATTTCTGGCGGAGCGAATTACGTCATTGTCCTTGTTTTTCTCAAAGACAGTGTCCAAATATCTCTACTATACTGAGTATTCGTTAAAATAATAATTAAAAAAAAACAGGAAAGCGCATGCGCAAAATTAAAAACAAAATGGCGACAATTTACACATCGTAACAGTTATTTACCTTAAGCTCCTTGATAAAATCCAAAGTTGTATCAGCAATATTATTGGTCCTGATCTAGTGGCTCGGCTTCAGTCACTTTCTCACCGCTATAAGGTTGCCTCTCCGTGTCTTTTCTATAAATACTTTGATGGCAATTGTTTGGATGAGCTCCTCGTTGTGGTAATCTTATTTTCTTTAGTTTCTTGTAAATAGTTTTTGTATTCATATTGTAAATAATCATTGGGGCTAGTTTTTAGGATTGTTGTTTTATCCCCCCACCACAGACAATGAATTGTAAATATGGGGACTAGTTAGTATTTTCATAGAGACAAAGAGGTATTATGGTGGTTGTAGTAAGAAAGGTAGGTATGAATGTGTTTTGGTGTAAGGAATATATTTCCTACGATTGGGTCAGTGTTTGCGGTTAGCTGAGTTAGAGTTAAGACAGAAGAAGGCCGTCCTTACCCCAATCCCCCACTTTCGGCCATGTGCCACATTTCTGTATTAAACAGAATAAATATCGTTCTTCGTTATGGTACGTATTCATTTTGAATTTAAGCGAAGTACTAGTCTGGCATCAAGATCTCATCCATTTACAGTTGAGCTGGCACTTCTCGCTTGTGTAAATCTTTTCTGGCTCCAAGCAATATTGGTCTTGAGAAATCTAAATATAATGTCAGTCAATATCTACTATTTTCTTGATTACTCTTGTATTGTTCTTACTCTTTCATAATGTTGTTTGCTTTGTAACTATTTCAGACACAGTTACTCCTTGTGTCTTAGTGGCTTTACAGCCTTGCTTGGGGTAAATTTGATTAAAAAATTCTATAGTAAAACAATTTGAAGTGAATTACTATATTATGATATATACACCGGTTTTATATATATATATATATATATATATATATATATATATATATATATATATATAGATACCCTAGTGAGCCAGATTTACCTAGGTTTCACCTAGACGGATCGTCAGGGAAAGTTTGGCCAAACTTTCCTGACGATCTGTTTAGGTGAAACCCAGGTAGGTTTGTCTGGCTCACTAGGTGTATCTAGGTCTGCTCTACGGTTGTATTGAGCTCTTTTTGTTAGTTAGTTGTTACTGTATCGGGGTTTTTTCTTTGGGCTTCAGACCTGCATCTGTGCGATTTTTTTGTCGGCAGAAGTCCATGTTTGTAGCTCTTTTCTTTTTTAAAACTTTTTTTTTCCTCGAGATTGATTTGATTAGCAAATCAAAAATTGAGGGTTTTTTCTAGAAATATAGTATATATATATATATATATATATATATATATATATATATATATATATATATATATATATATATATATATATATATATATATATATATATATATATATATATATATATATATATATATATATATATATATATATATATATATATAAATATATATATAACACTATTTACATTATAAAACTCAAGGACACATGGCACAATGGATAAAACGTTAGTTAGATCCAGTGAAAGGACCCAAAGACTGTGAGTTCAATATCTGGTTAAGGCAGTGGAGAACTTGGAGAGGTGAATTAAGAGGAGATAACTGATAACTGACATCCATTAGACATGGCACGTCGAACTAGAACAGTCTACTCCAGTGAGCGAAATAAAGGGTTCAGTTCGACATTCCAACCACCTCAAGAAGGCCGGAGTGTACAACGGCTGAAACGTAATAAATATGGCGACAACGATGAGGACAATAGTCCGAATAATGTAAATAGTGTACATAATACCTCATCTCAGAAATATAGACAGATACTGAAAGGCCGAAACATTGTAATAAATATGGCGACAAAGATGAGGACAATAGTCCGAATAATGTAAATAGTGTACATAATACCTCATCTCAGAAATATAGACAGATATATAATCTAATGTCTAATTTAATGCAATACTTAAATGCAGCAGTAAATCTTCAGTTTATTGTTGCCTATTGCATCTACTCCTATCTACCTACCTACCTATGGTGATGAAGGCCCAATAATGAACCCTCTGCGGGAGATAGCTTTTAAGTTAGTTATTTGATACGTCTCTCTCTATACGTAACCATTAAAGTGAATGAACATTTCGATTGATTTGTTTAATAAAACCTACCTGTGATAATTCTCAATGTATTCTTGATAAAACTGAAAGGAGAATCAGCAATATTATTGGTTCTGCTCTGGCATCTCTGCTTCAGTCACTTTCCCACCACCATAAAGCTGCTTCCCTGTGCCTTTTCTACAAATATTTCATGGTAATTGTTAGGATGATCTCTTCGATATGGTGACTAAACTTTATGAATTTAGGCACAGTACTAGACCAGTGTCAAGATCTCATCAATTTACAGTTGAGCTGGTTAGATGTAGCCGTAAATTCTATGCTAACAATTTCTTTTCTCGAACTTCTTGCTTGTGGAACTCGCTTCCAACCCCATGATTTTCTAACTAACTTTAATCTGCAAAATTGTAAATACAATATCAATCGCTCTCTACTGCCCTCCTGATTAATCTTTTCTCTTCCAGCTCATTATTAATGATTCTGTTTCAAATTCTTCCACACCCTTTAACCACTTGTGTCTTAGTGACTTTACTTTCTTGCATGGGTCGATGCCGATTTAAAAACAAAAGAAAAAAGTAACATTAATTTATGGCCGCTTAACAAAGACAGACGACACGAGCCGAGTTTAAAAACACACGGGGAATTTTATTCTTAGCAGACAAAGTATGAATTACTCAAATTAAGTGCCAAATAATGGCCAATAAGTTGTAAGTAAATTATCAATGAAAATAAGATACTCGTTTTTACCATTAAAGTTATAAAGTTTCATAAGAAGGTCCTCAGAAGAAAGAACGATATAAACGGAAGAAAAATTGTACCAAATTATTCTTTGATAACTATTCTCTTCTTCTTCTTCTAACAATTACGATCATGAGCGATATTTTCTTTCTTTCTTTCTTTCTTTCTTTCTTTCTTTCTTTTCCCTCGTTTTCTTTCTTTCTTTCTTTCTTTCTTTCTTTCATTTATTTTCTTTCTTTCTTTCTATTCGTTTTTCCTTTCTTTCCCCTCGTTTACTTTCTTTCTTTCTTTTCCACTTCCTTTTCTTTTCCCTCATTTTCTTTATTCTTTCTTCGTTTTATTCTTTCTTTCTTTCTTTCTTTCTTTCTTTCTTTCTTTCTTTCTTTCTTTCTTTCTTTCTTTCTTTCTATTCGTTTTTCCTTTCTTTTCCCTCGTTTTCTTTCTTTCTTTCTTTTCCCTCATTTTCTTTATTCTTTCTTTCTTTCGTTGTTTCTCTCTTTCTATTCATCTTCCCTTTCTTTTCCTCATTTCCTTTATTCTTTCTTCCTTTCTATCTATTCGTTTTTCCTATCTTTCCCCTCGTTTTTTCTTTTTTCTTTCTTTCTTTCTTTCTTTCTTTCTTTCTTTCTTTCTTTCTTATGGTATTTTTCCTATTTTCTCATACTTTATCCTTCCTTTTATTCGTTGATTTTTCTTTTTCCATCACTATAGTCACCACCACCAATATCACTGCCACTAACGCCGCCACCTTCGCCATCAACAACAATCATCATCGGCGATATGATTATGACGACGATGACGACGATGATTATTATTATTCATTCGTCGTCGCTGGATTTCTGTTATCGTTTCGCAACAGCGCCTCAGAGCCGTCTTTTCCAACCCTCCTCATTCGAGGATGACCTGACGGACAAACTCTCTTCCCTCCCCAAAGAACGGTCCCAATTCAAAAATAAACGAAAAATAAACATGTTCCAAAAAAAAAAAAAAATAAATAAATAAATAAAAAAAATACTTCCATTCCTGGACGCGAACCCCGGTGCGTAGTGACTCAGCGATATTTATACATTCGCCATCCATCATCAAAAGTCTCTCTGGCCCCAACCTGAACGCCCACAAATGCATATCCCCCGCTTCGACCTAGGGCTCCTAAGTGGAATTTAATGGTGTCGTTGATGAATATCAGAAGGCGTAGTCTTTAGACATTTTCATTCAAACAATAGAAGCCCCCCCCTCCCAAAAAATAATCAATATAAAAAGGACCGGAAAAGGAAATACAAAATATATGTGCTTGTAGTTTAGTGGCGACAGTCATATATCGGGCTGTTCGTGTTTGGTTCAATTCTGTTTGGGTTTTGCCTCAAATTTTTCGTTGCTACAATTAATTCAAACTGAAAGCCGATAAACCGCTGCTAGAAGGACGGAAGAAAGATTTCGTCTAAAGGAAATGACAGCAAACACCAAAAATCTGGAAATTGGTGGCATCTGAGATCGTCTACAATTTTCAGACAAAATAAGACGACTACTTCCGATGTTGAGCTTCACAAATGAACTTTTTTCCCCAGTTTGTACCGAAAAAAAAAAATTAATAATACACAATATATCAGCAGCTAGAAAATGATGCCAGAAGTTGGACAATTTACATGGACAGTATGTTGACGAGCGGCTTCTGGTTTGAAATCACGACTTGCATCATAAAAAGAATTTCGCGGGAAATACGTAATATCAGTGAAAACAGATGGGCGCCTCGAGGCGGTGTAATGCTTAGCAAGCTTGTTTCGCTAGAACAATTACGACTGACTAGTGAGTTCGATCCTAACTGGGTGCCCCATACTTTCTGTCTTGCACCACCTCTAAGCTACGCTTGGAAAAAATGGCACCTATGCGTGGTGTAATGATTAGCAAGCTTGTCTCGCTAGATCAGTAATGACTGAAAAGTGAGTTGGATCCTCACTGGGTGCCCCATACTTTCGACCTTGTGCCACATCTAAGCTACGCTTAGAAAATAATCATTGAAAACAGAACACCTCTTTCGCTTTTAGATGCGATTGATTCCGCTCCATGAGAGAGAACTGTCAGCTAGAGAATGCCTCCATCTTGGTTAAATTGAGTACTGGTATTTCGACATAAAAATGCAGTTTGGGAACCAAGCCCGTCAGAACAGTTGCCATGAAAATACTTGTAGAAAGAGCGAGGGAAGCCACAGCACGTCTGTAAGAAAGTGACTGTAGGCGAGATGCCAGATCAGGACCTATCACATTGCATATCCATCTCAGGATTTTGTCAAGGATCTCGAGATGAACAGTGGGGGTACCAGACTATATATTGCAGTAGTATTAGGTTGGTGCAAAAATAATGACGTAATAATGTCGTTTTTTTGACGTATTTTTTAACGTCAAAAAATGACTTTAGTACGTCATTATTTTTGCACCAACCTAATAATTTAATCCAAGGATGAATGGTTGATTTATAGATTTGAAAGATGGACTTAGACGAGAAAAAAATTTCTGGAACAACACTGAAAACCATCTTTTCTTTGCAGTATACCTTTGAATATCTTGTCTGATTTTTCATATTTTATTGTTCAACATGAAACCTATTTAATTTTATTTGCCTGGGACATGTTAGGCTTTAAAGAATAATTTGTTTTGGATAGCCAGTATAAAGAATTTCTTTGAAGGTTTTTCCTATGCAATAATGGTTTTCATACAGGATGGTAGATTCATGTCTGATACTCTATCTTTCAAAAAGAACTCTTGCAGTTTTATTTGATGAGCCGTGGTGTCTGTTCCACTCTGCAGGAAGATAGGTGGGCGAGCATTATTGTGTTTACATTAAGAAGATACGCGTTTATCCATCCGTAAAAAAAGCGGTTGGAACACAATTGTAATGGAAGTATGTAAATATTTCCACTTCAAAAAACAGGAAAACTTCAAGAGTTGAAGGGGTGGGGAAAGAAAAAAGGTAAAAAGAAAGGCAAAAGGAAAGAGTGTAGAAGATATAGAGGGTGACTGGTTAAAAAGGACGTTGGTATGAAAAAGAGAAAAGGAAAGAAAGAGTTGTGTGTTAAAATGAACGAGAGAAGAAGACGATGGCAGTGAAAGAGAAGCATTGTATTAAAGAGAGACTGAGGAGGAAAATGTAAAGAGAGAAAAAGAGAGAGGAGTAAGATTGGAGAGGATAAGGGAATGAGAGAGAGATGTGTTAAAAGAAAGGCTGTTGGTATGAAAAAGAGAGACGGAAAGAAAGATTAGGGCGTTAAAAGTGAGAGAGAGGGGAATAAGACGTTGTAAGGTCAAGACAAGCTTGGTACGAAAGATAAGAGAAGAAAATGCAGAGAGAGAGAGAGAGAGAGAGGGGGGAAGACAGAAAGACGGAGAAGGTAATTGTGGAGATGAAGAAAGAAAGAGAGAGTGGGAGGCGGGTTAAAAAGGATTGGTAGGTAAAAGAGAGAAGGAAAGAAAGAGTTGTGTGTCAAATATGAGAAAGAAGATGAGAACGTGCAGACGAAAGAGAGGCTTGGTACTAAAGATAGAGAATAAAATACATAGAGAGAAAGAGAGAGAGAGAGAGAGAGAGATAGATAAAGGCGGAGTAATAGAGAAGATGATAAGAGTGAGTGGGAGACGAGGTAAATGTGTTGGTATGAAAAAGAAAGAAGGAAAGAAAGAGTTGTGCGTTAAAAGAGAAAGAGGGAATGAAATGAAAGAGAGGCTTGGTACTGAATGTTGATTTTCTAAGCATAGCTTAGATGTGGCACAAGGCCGAAAGTATTGGGCACCCAGTGAGGATCGAACTCACTACTCAGTTGTAACTGTCTCAGCGAAACAAGCTTGTTAACCATTACACCCAGTGTTGGGCACCCAGTGAGGATCGGACTCGCTGTTCAGTCATAATTGATTAAGCAAGACAAGCTTACTAAGCATTGCATCACGTTGAAATGCCTTAATGAATTTCTAATCATAGATTAGATGTGGCACAAGGCCGAAAGTGTTGAGCGCCCAATGAGGATCGAATTCACTACTCTAATTGATCTAACGAGAAATGCTTGCTAACAATTACACCATGTTGAAAGGTGTGGTACTGAATGAAAGAAAATGGAGAGAGCGAAAGAGAGAGAGAGAGAGTGAGAGAGAGAGTTAGAATGGAGACAATAAAACTGAGAGAGAGAGGGTAAGAATGGAGACAATAAAACTGAGAAAGAGAGAGAGAGAGACGGGGTAAAAAAGGGGGTTAGGTATAAACTAGAGTGAAGGAAAAATAATCTTGGTTTAAGACAGAGAGAGGGAATGATACGCTGGATCTTGGTTGGTTGTTTTGTTTTATGGCATATCAAAACCTCTGTGGGTCATTTGATGCCAACAAAATTTTTGAAATAGATTCATAGCAATAGTTTGGCAGAAAAAGGTGTGTATACACACACACACATACACACACACACACACACATATATATATATATATATATATTTGAACCATTTTTCAATTACTCATATTTTTGAGTACAATCCAAATTCTTTTAGGAAATTTACAATCTTGGATGGTTTTACTTTCGTAAAAATATTTTTTTTGTAAATTACTCACTTGGTAATATTTTGTTCACACTATATCAAAATCTACAAACTCTAACAGTGTATGTTTCACTGTAAATTCTAATTATTGCTGATGGTAATTTTTCCTTTAAAAATTATTGCTAGTAATAATTTTTTTTTAATACAAAGTATTTCTGGTATTAAAACCTATTTTTACGCAAGTTTGGGTGTTAACTATTTGTCCATAGCTAGGACCCTAACAGGTGCTACCACCCCGAGTCAGGGTGAACCTGAGAATACCAGCAATTAAGAGGTGGTTCCACGCTCCTCAAAACTTCCTGATCAGAGGCCTTGCTGCTGGACGTAGTTTATCGTCTTACCTAGGACGCGGATGTAGTTTGTCGTCTTACCCAGGACGGAATGATACGCTGGAGTTGAAAGACAGGCTGGCAAACATGGCTAAACATGTCCGCAAAAAGGACAAAGTTTCAAAAGGACAATTTCTCCCATGAAACCAATTTTATTTTAAGTACTCTTCAGTAATGTTTGGTTCAAAAAGCGATGATTAAAATTTGAACAAAACCTAAACATATGAAAGTAAATATATACATTTTCATTATTCTTGTGAATTGACAACAAAAATAAACACTATTTATCCATTAGATCGTTTATTTATATTATTTATTCTATTGTTTATTGGAATGGTTGGCAAAATTTGGCTAATTGCTGATCCAGTCGAACTTTATAAAATGGTAAATAAGAATTACTTCATTGTTGGTTCTTCGCCCTTGCATGGAGTATTGCTGCCACATATGGTCTGGTGCCCCTTCTGTTTGCCTCGGGGTTCTTGATAGGCCCCAGAGGCGGATTTGCAATGTAGTTGGCCCTGCTCTGGCGTCTCCTCTACAGTCACTTTCTCACAGACGCGCCGTCGCCTCCCTCTTCCTGTTCTACAAATACTTTCATGGAAATTGCTCCGACGTCATGAGTTCAAGCGCCATACGAGGCTGGCATCCCGATCCCACCCCTTCACTGTCGAAACTCCTAAATATAGCCGTCTCTTCTACTCCAATAGCTTCATGTCTCGCACCTCTCGCCTGTGGAACTCCCTTTCCTATTCCTGTTTCCCTGTGAGCTATAATCTCCAGCTATTCAAGTGTAATGTCAATCGACATCTCCAGTTGCCTTTATCTATCCACTACTCTTCTCCTCATCCTTTCTTCTATCACTCCTATCTGATCTTGCTCTAAATTTTATGTAACCCCTTGCGTCCTAGTGGCTTCCAGCCTTGCTTGGGGTGAAATGCTTTTAGAGAATGTCGTAAATATAAAATTATTCTAGGAAACCTAATCGATAAATAGCGCTTAAAAT